TTTTTCTTTATTCTTTTTCCTTGGGTCCCGACCAAGGAGGAACGCCTCCTCATCAGTTTCTTATGTTGTGGACTTCGGGAGGAAGCACCTTCACTAGAGGCGTGAGTGGTTTCACGAGCCCTCCTCCGATAAAGGGCACCTTACAGCACCTGTTAGGCCTCCATTGGGTCGTCGAGAACATCGACATCGAGGCACACAACATAACCCCTCGGAAGCCCTATACAAGCAAAAGGGTGTTAAGTGATCTGCTTTTAAACCATTAATATTGAAATGAAGAGGAATTCCACTCACCACGATTCTTAGCTCTCCACCCATATTTGGGAGCCATTTCTTTCCACTAATAGGTTTCTGGAGTCGTAATGTCCAGAATTTTCTGAATTCATCGGTCCAGACCATGAACCTGTAGTGGTTCCTAGCAAGTAGCTAAAACAAAGGAAGCCAAAACGAGAAATCCAGTAAAACGAGAAATTATTTCTACGAAGAAAAGAAGCAAATATTTGAAGACTTACAGAAAAGATTCCACGACTCGGGGAAAGCTGGAGTTGTGGTTGGGATGATGTCTGGTGGTAATAGCAACGAACTGTTCCATCCATCCATGGTCATTGTCATTGTCTACACTGGTGATAAGGGCGTGGTGACCACACTTGCAAAAGTTTAATACTTCCCCATTAATAATCTTAGAGGAGTAAAGGTTCATTATATGTGCAAGAGTCAGGGTTTTTCCGGTCTCACTATACAATTGATGAAGGCATGCCACCATCCATCATATGGAATGGCCCACTTATGTTAAGCAAACCTAGTACCTGTGGCAAGATTCTAAAATTATTGGGTCGAGTCCTTCACTCAACCCCAAAGAGAAGGGACCCAAAGTAAAGGGATACGTATAGACATACGTAAACCCTTCCCGGAGTAGGTAACTTGCTCTACCATATCTGGAACGATAATTTTAACATTAGGATAGTTACAGTCCTCATTCACAGTAGGGATACTTAAAGGACGAATGGAGGAGGGGTACATACGAGCTGGCCCAAACATGCGGCTTTGAGAAGTTGCAGATGGGGTTTGTTCTTGAAGATTAGATGAGGTGCTAAGATGGAGTGGTATGATGGTGTTACAGTTGGAGGTTCAGACTCAGGGTCAACCTCTTTGGCTTTGTGTTCTTCAGGCTTTCACCGAAGAGAAGACCGGTGTTTCCGAAGAAAGCAGTGTTTAGACTTGATAGTAAACGATCGGTAAAGATGTTCTTACTGAGAAAGTTGGAGGTTGTAAAAAAGATCTAAGGAAATTCAGAGAAAGAAAAGGATCGTGAGAGTAGTAAAAGTGAAAAAGTAAAAATGATGAATAGTGAAGAAGATATAGACGGCAAAATTCGTGGTCATGATTACCTCAAAACCCGGCAAAAATACTTGCTGAATCACGGGGCAACATGTGTTCGGAGTATTAAATGCGAAGAGACGTGCGTCTCTTCAAATGTCAGAGACTGTTCGAGAACTTTCCCACCAAGAAAGGAATACTCATCTACTTCCTAGTAACACTGAGTTGCATCACCGAAAAGCAGGAGGACTATCTGTATGGGGTGAAACTTGTTGATAATAAGTGGATAAATAGGGAGGTGACACATGGAACCAAGAACAAGCAGAAGTTGAACAATCGATATCGGTTACGAAGTGCATAACCAATATAGGATGAATCTAGAAGGAAGCACAAGTGATGGTAAAGACTCGAAGACTTGATATTGGATAACATTTAATGAGCGGCCATTACAGAAAATATGTGCATTCAAAGCTAATTGTTATGCACCCACCAATGACATTTTTATTCTCATTCAAGAGGAGCTTGATTTTAGGATCTTGTCTCCCTATGAATAGCTATACATATCATATTGACAACCCTTGTAAGGACATGACATAATCTACACACAAAAACTATAACATACTGTTTCAGGTTCAAGCTAAATAATTTTATCATTGTTCGATCATTGCCACTGTTCTTACCCTAAGAAACACCGAGCTTAGAATCAGACCTGCTATTTTCTTTGTTTTCAATTGTTAATCTTATTTTAGCTTTATTTTCTTATCATTTTCAGATCAAATCGATTCGCTTGCCTATAAACCATGTTATAAATTTAATTGTACCGTTTTACGGATAAACCGATATAAGAAATTTTTTAGTGTAGAAGACAAACATTGCAATAAGAAAATTGATGGGTTTGACAACGGCAACCTAATTAAGGCCTATCTTACCGTGAATAAATTGGATTAGGAGAGGAGTAGTAGTTATTTTCAATCTTAAAAGCTAAGAGAAGTACTAGTTTCGGCACTACTGTAACAGCAAATTGATTGCTAGGGTATTAATTCCATTTTCTTTCTTATCTATACTCTATAATTTTTATTTTTTGGACATACCACCAGTATATTAAGTATGGTATTGATATTTCTTTGGGCTCGTTAGTATATACTTTGATTATATTTATTGTTGCGATATTTTTCATCGAAGTAGTAAAATGGTAGAACCGTAATAATTTAGACAATAATAAGGTGGAATGACTATGATATGATTGGGTTTTAAGGATTAGATACTTGTAAGATTGAAATATATTAACAATGCATGCTCATGTGGTCACGGTGAATTAGCGAAGAACATATTTGGACGTTAATATGATAGCTACTGTTTCGAATCTTTGCTCTTACTTTTAGACATATTTTACTGTGGTTATTATCATTGGGATTAAAGTACTACTTGTAGATATTTAATTGAAGATTGAGTTGGATTGAGATATTGGAGTATGTTATACATTTAAATTCATGATTTGTGGTGTACAATAATAATATTTAGCTGTAAGCTTGAAATTAAGGAAAAGTTACGATTTGACTCCGACTAGCATAATTAATATAGTTAATTAATTTTATTTTGCATAGATTGAGGTAATTGGAGGTTGTTTGGTTGGTGTTCTAGATGTCGCAAGGTTGGGGAACTTTCCGTTAGCGAAGTAAGTGGGACTTTAAGCTTTGATGTTTGCTTTTCAAAGCCTGCTTTTAAATTACATTTTGACTGCTTGGTCCATGTATTGGAACGAGTGTGTGCTTGGCAGAATCGATGGTCTTTGACCGTCTTTGACCAGCCGCAAATATATATTATTTTGTGAAAAAACTGAAATTATTTAATAAGTAATTTGTTGCGTGGCGTTGCCTCGTGCTATGACATTGGGTCGTTAGAAATTATTTCTTTACTGTCATAATATATTTGGGGCATTGTGTATGCCGCCGTGGTAGATTTAGAGCATTGTGTATGCTGTCATGAATTTGTTGGGGTGCTTAGTTGATTTCTTGCATTGTTGTTTATGAGAGGTCCTTAGTATAGATTGTACTGAGATTAATATATCGTGTTCTTATTGAATATTTGTTTGGGGCTTATTGAGTATTATATGGTGCTATAATTTCTACGCTCCTATGTGCTTATATTTTCTAACACTTATTCCAAAGGTGTTTAGAGTGGCCGATCGAGGATTTTATTGGGTTATATTCACGTATAACTCACTCATTACTTGCATGTCCATGGAGATTCTATTGGTAAAGAAGAAACTAGTCGCTGACAAGTTTGCTAGAGTTGATTCAGTTATTGAGGTTGGCCACCGCATTGTTTGTGGAGGCTGCCAAAAGAGTTTTTATTATTTATTCATATAATATCTTTTGTTATTCTTTTAAATGCTCCATGATCTAGTGTGTGATTTGAGCTGCAATTTTAATTGTTGGATTTATTACTTACTTCTATAATTAATTAATAGATTGTTCGGGATGCTCATTTAACTTGTTAAATGATGAGAATGAATGGTTGTGTATGAAAAATTGGTTCGTGTAACGGGTGATGTTAGTTGGGTGCCAATTACGACTTGAGAAGTATTTTGGGACGTGATAATTTTACTTTACGACTTTCATTCCCAACACTTTATCTATAGAGTTTAAGTTAGGCATGTCCACGTACCAACATCGATGGTTGTGAACTACAAAAGGCAAAAATGAATCTTAAATAGTTTGACCAAGGCTAAAGCAGAAATTGTCATAATACAAAAAGTTTTAAGTATAGTGATCAACAAAGATGATTAAGCACATAAATGCAAAAGATATATGAATAGAGAATTATAATATATAATTATGTGGATCCAAGATTGCGATCATATGATCAATGAAGTTGGTCTAAATTTTAGAGACCAAAATTTATATATATATTAGTGATTTCTCCCATCTACCTCAGGAGACAAGAAAATAAATTATATTATACTATTTATGCTCCATTTTGCTTGTCATGTTTACTAAAAATAATTGTTTTAAAATACTTCTTTTTTAGAAAAATAAGAGAGCATTGATTCCTCTGTTTAAAATTTTATCCTACCTTAATAAATATGGAGAGAAAGTATATGATAAAAGTAAAAATAGTAATAAATTGAGATAAATTAATAAACAAAAATAATTTAATAAAAATATATTTTGAATTAATATTTTGTGTGAAAAGTATATAATAGTTACAAGTAAAAAGTATTAATGTTAGACTTGATAGAAGTTGGCGATCAAGATATCAGTAAGGTTGGCCCTAATCAAGACAATCTTTTTCTAGTTTTTACTTTTTAACCACGACAAAACTGTCTTAATGTTGCCTAGGGTCGATTCTACGGTAAAAATCCTTTTTCTCACATGGTAAAATTCTTACAAGTGGAACCTTCGAAGGTGTTTGGACATAAAAATTATAATTTTTGAAAAAAAGTAGTACTTGGAGTTAAGTAAAAAAATAATATTTAAAATTTGAAATTATGTTTGGACATATATTTTACTTGAAAAAGATATTGTAGCTTTGTAAGTGTGAAACAAAAAATTCTGAAAAAGTGGTTTATTTGAAAATCTTATTTTCGAACTAAAAGTGCATCGCTTTATTAAAGAATGTGGACTATAGGATTATTTTGAGCCGAAGCCAAAGATACCGGATTATTTTGGGCATTTTCTCTTTTTTCCCCAACTAAAAACCCTATATCGCCTGTTCAAAGTGAAGAAACAACTGAACTGTGTGGTTTAAACTAATTTCTTTTACTTGTGAGAAAATGCATTCACCCAAAAGTCGAGAAGTTTTTCCGAGTACTCGTCTCGGTGAGGCAAACAAGCTTGCAAGGAAGGAAAAGGTACTTCTTCTTGTGCCGATTACGTAATTTTCATGTGGCGTCTGTATAATTTCTTTGAGTCTCCTCTTTTCTTGTGTTTCCTGGGCCATATTTCCTATAATTTTGTTCATTATTCTGATCGTAGATCAGCTGGACAGGTGATAATCTCTCTTAATGGGAGACATCTGTAAGTAGGACTTGTTTGCTACTCTGTTGGCCTGGGTATTGTTTTAGACTCTTATTATGTCATTTACAGGTTTGGGCAACTCATAAAAGTTAATTGGGCAAACACCAGTGGCTGTATAGCTATGGTTGGAGCTTGCTTTATAAGGAAGAAGAAGACACACTCGGTGAGAGATAGAGAGAGACGTAGGAAATGTATACCAATTTTCATTACTCAAAAACTTACAGAATACAAGAACTCCACTTACTTTATACACTTTATTCAACACTGTATTTCTAACAACTTAATTAACTCCTAACAGTAATTAACGGCTAATTAACAACTACTCTATACAAAGACTTTTATACCCTCACATTATTTAACATTAATGCCCCACAAGCTAGGTGGTGAAAAAATTTGAACACACCTAGCTTGGATTTAAATACTCATGCTGCACTTTGATTAGTCCCTTTTGTGAGAATATCAACAAATTGATATGTTGTTGCAATGTATTTGGTAGTAACTAGTCCCTGTTGAATTTTTTTCTCTCATAATATGACAGTCGATTTTAATATGCTTGGTTCTTTCGTGATAAACTGGATTTGCAGCTATTTGTATAGATGTTTTGCTGTCACTGTAGATTAGAGCTGTCAATATGGGCTTGGCACGCTGGGCCGACCTAACCCATCCCATGATTTAATAGGGTTGGACTAAGATTTTTAGATGCCATTTAAAAACGATACTTTTAAGCCCGACCCAAGTAAGCCCGTGTCCCATGAGGCTTGACTGAGGTTGGGCTGGGCTGAGTCGGCCTGTGGGCTTAAAAACATATTTAATTAAAAGTATTTTAAAAAAATAGGGAACTAACAATAACAAGACTAGGAATATTTTTATACGAATATAAATATTTTTTGTTCTTAAAATTTTAGTTATTTCTTAATATTTAACTAATTAATATTGCATATAATTATATATTTAGATAAAAATAAAGATATTAAGACATCTTTGTTTCACAAGAAGATTCAAATGTGCTTGATGACGATGATCTGTTGGTGTTGGATATGCCATGAGCACCTTGAAAATATTTGTGAGTAGTTTGTTTTGAGTATTGACTTTTAATAAATGAAATATTGTCCTCCTTTTTTGTATTTTATTGTAATCTATTAAAACAATATCAAAATTATTAAGTTTTGCAAAAACTTTTTATCCAACAAGCATACTTTTTGACTTGTTAATATATAGGGCTGGGTTGGGCTGACCATTTTAAGACCCATTGAAATAGTGAACCGACCCGACCCGTCAAATGCCAAAGCCCACGTGGGCTGGGTTAAGCTGGGTTGCACTAGCCCGTATTGATAACTCTACTGTAGATATCAATAGGTAATTCGATCCGTGTATCAACTTCTTTTAGCAAACCATAAAACCAAATTAGCTCAGCTACTGTTGTTGCTAGACTTTTATATTCAGCTTCTGCAGAACTCCGAGATATAGTAGTTTGTTTCTTAGACTTCCAAGAGACCAAGGAGTCACCCACCTTGATTAAGGAGCTTGTGACTTATTTTCTGGTCAAAGGGCATGCAGCTCAACATGCATCATAGAATGCAGTAATTGTATTATTTTGTGTACTAGATAACAAAATCTCTTGCCCTGGCTTGTTTTAATGTATTTTAAAATCCTCAAGGCAGCCTCCATATGTGATCTATTAGGTTGTTGAAGGAATTGACTGAGTGTTTGAACTCCAAATGCTATATCTGGCCTAGTTACAATTAAATATAGAAGTTTTTCTATCAATCTCTCATAAGAAGTTTGATCAGCTAATGGGTCCTTTTTTTCTGAGAGTTTTGTCTTTCCAACACAGTCATCATACTGTTTGGAAGTTAGTTTGACACTGATATCAATAGGAGTTATTGTTGGATTGGGCCCAACTTCTGAAATTAGTTCCAAAGCATACTTTCTTTAATGCATAATGATCCCCTGATTAAATCTAGCAAACTCAATACCTAGTCAATATTTTAATTCCCCCATGTCTTTCATTTTGAAGGCGTTTTTGCAGTGAGGATTTGGTCTTCTCAATCTGTTGTAGACTGTCTCATGTAATTAACATGTCATCTACATATATCAAAATTATAGTAACTCCTTCAGTAGTTTTTCTAATGAATAATGAGTGATCAATCTGACTTTGTTTAAAGTTGAACTTCAATAAATCTTCACATTTATCTTTTTTGGCATTAATACTTAATCATGTTGTATTGTTTCTCTTCGAGGTGCTCAAATGCTATTAACAGATAAAGATTGAAGAGGAACAAGGTCCTTTAATTTCTTTGTGGTCATTATTAAACATTTGTACTAATGTGGATTTAAACTTGCTCCCTTTTTAAACGGTTGACTGCTTCCTTTTTATTTCTCACTTACTTTGAAGGAAATAGTTTGGTCGTAAACAGATACAATATAATTAGGCTACAAAAAGTGCTAATGCGAATGATGATAGGCAGAGTTCATATGCCATAAATGTTGTGGAATTAACAAATGGATCCTCAGGTGTGTGTGTTATTTTTGTGAACCATAAATTATAGTGCCAATTTGGTAAAGAAAACTATCCAAGAGAACCTTATCTCCAGGATAGGCAATTATGAGTTCGCAATCTTGGACCAGATGCGGATCCAGGATTTAAGGTTTACGGGTTCCTACCATAATTTTAAATTAATATGCAATAATAACTGGGTTTACAGTTAGATATTTATAAATACTTAGTGAATTTCTTAATATAAATACAAGGTTTACGCAAGAATTACTGAGTTCGCGGGAACCCATATTCAATGCTCTAGGTCCGCCCATGTCTTGGACTCGTTCCCTTCTTAAAGAATTTTGGTTTAACGCCTTGATTTTATTTTATTCAACTGTAAAATAAAGTTCATTTGTTTATTGTCTTTTTGGTATTTCAGAAGAGGGTAAAGAGGCAGCAAACAGTGATGTTTATGAGAATAACCCATAGTATATTACTGTTTATGCGGGCAATCTTACTCCTGAGGTAAAAAAAAAAAAGTTCGTATACTGAATATAATCTTACTTTCTATCAGTAAAAACACTAACGTTTATGGTCTTTTGGTAGAAAATCCAGAGTGCCCTTGCCCATAATTGCATGTTGATGTCCATCGCGAAATAGTTTCTTACTTTTGCAATGACTTGCTGCTAAACATTTATATTTGTTTTTGGTGACATAGCCTGATCCCCATCGCCATTTTCATGTACTTGGTGCTGGAATCATTAAGGAAGTCTGGATTCAGCCTTTCTTTTTCGGAAAAATCTTTAACATGTACAATATAAATTATTGGTCCATTGCAAAGGGAATACTTGTGCTTCCCTTTTCCTTTGTCAATTGTCACTATTATCGACGTTGTTCATCCTATCTCTCTTACTTCAGAGTCCTCCCCTATCATTCGAACATCCATTAGTGTTGTGCATTAGCCATTGCAATGGCATTATTAATTTCGTTTCTGCCCAATGACTGTAATCCCATATATAAAGTTTCGCGACTTGTCCTCCTCTAATATGTTGCATATATACTATATTTTTTTACATATTAAGTAAGACTGGAATTCAATTTATTTCAACTAATGAAAGCAAGTTATTCTGCGGCATTTGAAGCTGACTAAACAAAAGATTTTAAACATAATGCTTTTTGGAAACCATATTGAATTTTTTCTTCGTTTCTCACCATGTCGGGTATGATCCAATGAAGGGGGGAACGCTCTTAATCAGGTTTTTTTAATTTTAAATGTCGATCCAGAGACCCCTGATTAAACGTAAAGTCCTATGCATCTCATTACAAACCTTGGTGACAACGACTGAAGAAAAGAAATCAGAGTTTAGCATCGATATACTAGCTTTCTAAAAGGGAAAAGACCAGCTAAACAAGCGAATGACGCAGTGCTGATAATTGAATTTGTCCAAGTGAAAAACTATAGTTGTTAAATATTACTTTGTAAATTATCTATCCAAGTGATTAAACTGAAATACCTACTACAAAGGAAATATTGAATCGAAAATTAATAATCTATTAAAATGACATGTTAAAGCACCAAATATGTGACATAACTACATAAATTATTAAAATGGATGAAAATCATGAGATGTTAGAGTTTATTGTAACAAGACAAATAACATTAGGTGTTTTCTTTTCAATTATTTATAAAATCATTTAATAAATATGCTAGTGAGGTAACATGTACCTATTGAAATGGTTGAGATGTCCACAAATAGACTCTACCTTGTTAAAAAGAAATTACCCTATATAAAAGCAAAATTCTTGCTATGTCAGAAATAAATCAAAAATAGCTGAAGTTACATTTTTAAAAATTACACCAAATATTAAAAATATACTAAAAAGAAGAAACTAGATCCAAATTCGGGTTCCTATTAAATTATTTTTTTTGTTATTCCCGTTAAATCATAAGAAGTACATTTTGTTGACCGAGTATCTCTATTTTAGAGGAGAGAGAGACTCTAACTTCTCTCTTCAATTATTTCCACCCCCTACTCAGGACCCACTCCCCTCACCACTACGTAAACCTTCCGATCCATCGGATTCCACGGTAGCTCTAATGGATATCGAAGCTCCTTCAATGAAGGACCCCTTCAAAAAAAGTTCTGGAAGACAACCACTTGACAAGGTCAAGCGTCTACCTAACAAATTACCACAAAGTGGAGGAAACCCTGAAAGCCCCATTGGAAGATGATGATGATGATAATACGGAGGAAATCATCCTATCCCATGACCATAAATTGAGAATCTACCATCCGTGGAGTTTCTCAGTAATCATCAAGATTTTTGGGAAGAAAATTCCCTATCAGCTTCTCAAACCTAAGTTACAACAACTATGGTGCCCCAGTGAGCACCTAACAATCATTGACTTGGGCTGGGACTTCTTCATTGTGAAGTTTCAAGAAAAAACAATATGGAAAAGGCCCTACACGGAGGCCCATGGTTCGTTATGGGCCACTTTCTCTCAGTCTGAAATTGGGAGCCTAATTTTGTTCCGAAAAAGTCTAAGATCCAATCGACGGTTATATGGATCAGGCTGCCCCAGTTACCCACATAGTTCTACAATAAGAAGATTCTAGAACGAGTGAGAAGAAAAGTGGGGAAATTATTGAAGATTGATACTTGCACATTTCCCATTCTCAGAGGTAGATATGCAAGGATCTGCATTCAAGTTCCCGTAGATGACCTCTTAGAACCTCCGTCGTAATTGGAGAACACATGTAACAAGTCGAATATAAGGGGGAGGGCATACTATGTAAGGGGTGCGGAAGGATATGCCACACAACGGAGAAATGCGCAACTACATAGA